TTGTTATGCTAAACAATATTAATATTATCAATCTTCTTATATAGATAAGTTAACTTATTTTTAATATAATCACTATTTTGGTTGATTCTTCCAAGGGAAACTTACTGCTGATGATAACACAATTTCTTTGTTATGCTAAACAATATTAATATTATCAATCTTCTTATATAGATAAGTTAACTCATTTTTAATATAATCACTATTTTGGTTGATTCTTCCAAGGGAAACTTTACTTTCTTCTAAAGTTTGTAATGCTAATTCTAATTTATTATTGGTAGCTGAATATTGCTCTTCAAGGTGCTTATGTTCCTTGTGTAGTCTGTAAAATTTTAGTTCTAGATCGTCTTGTCTCTTTCCCCAAGATATGTAAAAGTTATGTATCAAATCAACTATTAAGTTTATCTGTCCGTGAGAGATATGCCAAGTATGTTCTTCAGAGCTATTTAGTCTGCACTTATATTTATATTCTCTTTAGTATTGGCTATCTTTCCTGTATTAACTTCTAAATTTAAATAATGTAACTTTTCAATCCTCAACAGATTATAGTAAATCCCTTAAATTCAAAATCTAATAACCAGGCTCCGATACCACTGTTACACGATTACGCTAAACTGCTGCAACAAACTTGAACTCTAAATTCAAATTTAAAATTCTCAAGTTACTATTCATAGCACTATTCAAATTCAGCGGTTACTATTCAATTTCGTGGCACTATTCAAAATATTCGTTACTATTCAAATTCGAAATATAAACAGTGAATGACCACTCACCCGGGAGTGGCTCAGGCACTCAAACCCTTCACTATTTAAGGCACTAGCCTTTGAATTTATAGTGGGTGGATAGTGGATGCAGTATGCGTGCGTGATTAGTATGTGCGTGATTAGTGAATATGCATATATATGCGGATTATTCTTCTCAGGATCTTTTGCAGGCTGGCGAGACCAATGTTTCAACTGGTCGTGCGACTATGCTTGTGTCAGTCCTACTCAGTACTCACCGTATGCATTGCTAGCTCGCTTCAGAACCAGGCTAACCCAGTCTTCTCTCTTGCTATCCTCAGCCACGCACACACATGACTCAGGCTCTATCGTCTCCCAAAGCAGTTCCACCCGAAGGGAACACTTATCTGCACAAATAGGGTTCTCTACAAACGCCGCTACCAGGGCTAACATGAGAATAACACACGCAGAAGTTTCTCCTCTAGGGTCCCTTGCATAGAGACATCGCCCCATATGAATGAGCTTAAAGGAAGGCAGGGATTAAAACAGAAAAGCCTAGTTCATTTTCACAAAGCAAGCTTACATATGGCTTTCCCTTTTGAAAAACCCCCACACACTTAGCACAAAACTTAAGGATTACCTTACAAGCGCAGGAAGATCACGGGGACTTCCTTTGTTCTAATTTATAGATAGTGGTTGAGTAATACAACGGTAGTGGAGTATTACTATTCGTGGTGGATGATTCTCAGAGTTCTTCCCTAAGATTTGTGTTAAGTGCTTGGGGTTTATCAAAAGGGAAAGACGTATGTAAGCTTGCTCTGTGGAAATGAATTAAGCTTTCCTGTTTTAATCCCTACCTTCCTTTAAGCTCGTTCATATAGGCGATGTCTCTATGCTAGGGATCCTAGAGGAGAAACCTCTGCATGTGTTGTTCTCGTGTTAGTCCTGGTAGCGGCGTTTGTAGAGAACCCTGTGTGGGCTCTATCGTCTCCCCAGGTAGTTCCACCTGAAGAGAACACTTATCTGTGCAAATAGTCTTAAAAAAATCGTCTTGCAAATTAGTCGCAATCTATACAATTAGTTATTTTTTAGTTTATATTTAATACTCCATACATATGTCCAAATATCAAGGTGATAGTAAACTCAGAAGGGAGGAACTACACAATGCTAGTTCTCCGTATATATCAAGAATGACTGGCAGGAGGCGGGCTGCTGATGATTTTGATCCCTTCCTTGGATCAGGTGCCGGCTGCGGTCAACTGAATTCTCTCCCCAGATCCTGTAGTACTAGGGAGGGATGCGCGCTTGCCCGATGCCCGCCTGGATGGCTGATGTTGGTGTTGAATAGCTCTACACGGAGACATCCCTAGAGAGTCTGTTCATGCTTGGACCTATGTTAGGCTGCTGCGTCTGGATGCCGTAACGGAGTAAGTGAAGTTGGTGCGATGTTTCCTGTTCCTATTTGGGCTGTTATGTAAACGTCAGCACGCATTATGTGATTGTATAAATAACCAATTTCACCGCACACGCTACGTTCTGTTCCAGTGTTCGCGTTCTGGTGTCCCACCGCCCCGCGTGAGCCGCACGCGGACACGGCAAGTCAAAAGACCAATGGGCCATGGTACTTAAAAAAAAAAGCGCTAGGCAGGGAGATGGACCTCGCCTTCCAAGATACCTGACCAGCAAAAAGAGTCTGCCTTTGGTCTCCGGGGAAAAAAGCTGAAATGAACCTGACCAGCAAGTTCCAACCTCGCAAAGCACCTTCCCCAGTCGCGGCCGCCATGCGAGGACGAACACGCCACGCCCACGCGGTCTTTGTCTTCATGAAGTTCGCCCCATTTCTTGGTTAGTCCCTCGGTGGCGTCGAACTCTTGGACTGATGAGACCTCCACTACACTACTACTCCAGAGTCCCCATGAAGCTACTCACTCAATCCCGAAATATAAGAGATCTTCAGTTTTTCTGTATCAAATTATCTTAAGTTTCTTTGACCAAGTTTGCATAGTAAAATCTTTGGTTCTATTACATAAAAAAGGTAAGTTATGAAAATACATTTCATAATAATGTGTCTAAGGAAGCTTAATTATTTGATGTCATATTTTTTTTTTATAGAATTTTTGTGAAATTTTTGACAATTTGAGTTAGACCAACTAAAAATACATCATATTTGAGGACGGAAGGGGAATTTAAGAACATATAAATTATCCATGTATATGTAGGGTCTCATGCATCATAAATTTTATGCCACAAACGTGTGATGTATCCACTTCTCCAAATTAGTTGGTTTCCATGATTGGCAAAAGCTACATGCAGCGTAGCAGCAGAGACCATCGATGAACTTGAACTTGCGCCGGAAGGGATCTAGTAATTAAATTGCATACCTCGTTTATATTTAATTGGCATTCAGTAGCAGGGCATATATAAATTTTTTTTCTCGAATATGCAGCAGAAATTAGTTGTTTTTTTTCCTCGAATATAGCAGGAGATATGTAGAAAGCTAAACGGATCAAACTAAAGATTGCATGTAATTTCTAATTAGTTGTTTTTCCCATGATTATGAGCATGTTATTACATACATTGTAGATCCAATAATTAAATTACATACCTATGTTAGGCTGCTGGGTCTGGAGTTGGTGCGATGTTTCCTGTTCCTATTTGGGCTGTTATCAGCACGCATTATGTGATTGTATAAATAACCAATTTCACCGCACACGCTACGTTCTGTTCGAGTGTTCGCGTTCTGGTGTCCCACCGGCCCGCGTGAGCCGCACGCGGACACGGCAAGTCGAAAGACCAATGGGCCATGGTACTTCAAAAAAAAAAAAAAAAACGCGCTAGGCAGGGAGATGGTCCTCGGCCTTCCAAGATACCTACCGTGCGTAAAGACTAAAGAGTCTGCCTTTGGTCTCCGGGGAAAAAAGCTGAAATGAACCTGACCAGCAAGTTCCAACCTCGGAAAGTTCAATGAAAGACGTGCATTTAGTATGCTAGAGGCTAAACAATCGACGAGAAAGAACATTAGCTCTTTCGTGTGTTGCAGGCGCACCTCCACCGGGTCCAGACTCCAGACAGGAGCACAAGACGGACTTTTGGTAGCTAGTGACGTCGTGAATTAGTTGTAAAGTGCTCCACGCTCATTACGGTAGCACTAGTAGATGCTCGTTGGTACTGTGCTGCCATTTCTCGTTCTTATGTGTGCATTGTATCTGCCAGTACAGACGCGTAAAAGCAGACAACACGAGAAGGCCGGACTAAGATGCGCGACAATTTGATGAAGTAGTTGGCCTGGTTGAATTCACGAGCTAAACTTTGGTCCTAGCTTTTATAATAAAGGGGCTAAATATTAGTCTTTAAGGCTGTTTGGATTCAGGGGCTAAGAATTAGCCATGTACCCTACTATGACCTATTTATCCCTAACTAATACACATGTACAGCCATACATAGAAATGGGTGGGGGTAATATACGTCTTTTGCTCTACGGGACCACTTTTAACCCTCTTTAGCCCACTTTGGAGGGGCTAATTAAAAAAGGATGGGCTAAAATTTAGCCCTCACTTTTAGCCTTCATGTTTGATCCATGAGGGCTAAAATATGATAAAAAGAGATGGGCCAAACTTTAGCCCCATGGATCTAAATAGGGCCTTAGTCACCCAGTAAAAAAAAACCTTCCTTACAGCAACGAACAAAGGAAACATTTCGTCAATTCGACTACTTTTGCCGACAGTCTGATTGATATCCTTAATAGGCAAACGCATGACACATTCATTTCCTTTGATCATAGATCAGAGTGTCAACCGTTTTTTTAAAAAAAAAGTGTACTCCTTCCGTTCCAAATTATAGGATATTTTGGCTTTTATAGATTCATAGCTTTTGCGAAGCACCTAAACATACATTATGTCTAGGTACAGAGTAAAAGCTATGTATTTAGAAATGCCAAAATATCTTATAATTTGGAACAACGGGTAGTAGTATCCTACTCTCATAGATTGTACAATCTGATACTCTAAGTTGGACCAGTTCAGGAATAAGCAACAAGTATCGAGGACAGCGGATTTGCAAAGTTCTAGAGGAAGAAGAGGTATGACAGGGGCAGTGGAAGAAGATCATGACGTGTCCGTCTATTCTGTGGTTCTCCTTTGCTATTGTTGTTCCTGTGATCTTGTAGGTAGTGATGTTTGGTTACGAGAACCAAGTAGGATGGAATAGGAGGGTCCTTCTTAATGAAGTGTTGGGTTAAAGTAAGAGGATGTTTTATTAGGTCAACGACGGGGTGGGGGTGGCTTAAAAGTTACCCCCACCTGATATATATTGAAGCCACAAATACCGGCGTGAGCCGGGGGGTGGCAGGGAGCATGGCCCGAATCTCCTACAACTGAAAAGAACCAAGCGTGGACATTTTTTGGTGCGACATTCCAACATGGGTCCATCCTCCTGCCTCACCTTGCGATACCGCGCACAGCGTCTCGATGCCTCTGCTCCCTCCTCTTCGTCTCCCTCGGCCCCCGTGAAAACGAAAAAAAGCCCGTACAAATCCTGCCTCGGCGCCGCTGCCTCCGCCTCCGCCTCCTCTTCCTCTCCACCGACCGCAGCGCGTGCAGGTGCCGCGCCAAGGCGCCTCGCCGGCGCAGCCTCCGCGTTGGCCTCCCTCTCCACCGGCCGCAGCGTGCGCAGATGCCGCCACCGGCAGAGTTTTGTCGCCTCTTCCTCTTGCCCGGCGGCGGCACACGCGTGGATGCACGATGCCTTGCCGTGCCGGTGGCTGCGCCAGCGGATCCATGACGGACGGGATGTGATGGCGAAGGGGCTTGGGGAGCCGGTCAGCCCGGCCGGCGAGAAGCGGCCATTAGAGGCTTGCTCATCCTCAGCTCCACTGGCAAGCATGGGCTCCCCCAGGTCACCTCGCCGGACCTCGGGGCCATCCTCCACTACCTCGCCGAACCTTGCCGCCATCGTCGAATACCTCGCCACCGTCCTCACAGTGAGAGGTCCGTGTCCCCTCTTTCTCCATCTTGATTCATGTTCGATCTCCACCTTCTTCTCGACCTCGACATGAGTCTGATATGTCTGGTCGTTTGTTTTTGATGTAGGTGCCTTCGCCGTCAAAGCAGCCAAAGAGATTCTTCCTTCTAATAATTTCACCGATCATGAAAGGAGTCAATATATTTTTTTTTCCAAATTGTAGATAGATTGCTAACATTTACCTACTCTGGTGGCAAAGCTCCAGCTCAAGCAAGATCGGTGGAAACACCTGCAAGTGAACCTGGCCATGGCAGTGGAAACAGCACTCCAAAAGATGCACCAAAAGCAGAACCTTACAGGTCCAAACTTTTTTTGGCTACTTTCTGTATCAACTAATAACGATTTTTAGTTCATTAGTGATAGAGCTTTCCACCTGCTGGCAGATTACTGCATTTGGGTCAATACAACTGTGGTTTGTTTAAATGGTACCGAACCCATTTGTTGTTAGCTAATAACAACGGGTAGTTTGTCCATCAATTATAGGTTTCATGTTTGCTAAATAAATTAGTTCTGTTTCATACTCTGCTACTTACTTTCAACATGTGAGTTGCCCATTTTAAGGCTTACCTTCCCAAACATCTAAATTTATTCTCTTGAAACATGTAAGTTCAAGTTCCTGAAATTCCAAGCATTTTGACGGCTGAAATAGATTACGTGTTCTTTTTTCTAACGATGCTACCATATGGCTCTCATAAAAAGAGATACTTTTTTAGTGCATGCTGAATGCTTCTTGAGATTAATACAAGACCAACTTTTGTAGATTCTGTACGAAGTTAGGATTAACACTTCAGGTAGCCTCACAAGAATTTTTCTGTCGTTAGAAGGGTTGCTCCATTGATGCTTGCACTGGATGCTCATTTTTTCCTTTCTTATGTCTATGCTCAAAATTGGAAGTCATCAGTGTCGGTAGTTATTTTTCCTTTTAGTTATATTGTTTTCCTTTTCTTTGTTTTGTTGCCTGGCCTCTGGGATGTCATGTCACCTTTAAGATAGTTGCTTTCTCAAGTTGATAACAGAGGGGACCAATGAAGGAACAATAACCAGATCACAGAACTGGACATTTCTAATTTTAGCTACTACTTAGTTGTTGCTATAGTGGTTTTATGTTACTAGCCTATCCTGTTATTTCACCCTCTGGTCAAGCAAACAAAATGGCAAAAACCCCTTGGTTATTTTAGTTCAATGCTTCTTTGTTCGGTTTGTGCCTCCATGATTTGCTTATGTTGCTTCTTTGGTTCCATGTTAGCAGGCTTTCCTGTTATTTCGCCTTCTCATTAACCAAAAAAAAGGAACTGGACATATATGTTATTTAATTCAGTGCTTCTTTGCTCTGTATCCAGCTCCATGATGTGCTTTAGTTTAGAAATAGGCAACTGCAACCTTAGTATTGGATTTGATACTTTTCTCCTTTTTGTTCAAAATATTAGAACTAATTTTCCGTTTGTCGCCTTTCAAGTACATAATTGTTGATGGCTTTATGTTTTATGCAGGCCTGCGACGTAAATTTTTTGGCGGTTACAAGGTACCATGGGCTTAGGTATGTGGCCTCCATCAAAATAACAGTGTCGACGTGTAACTAATGTATTGATGTTCTTCTTCCTTCGTTATAGTAGTTTCCTATCCGCTTATATCCTGTCTTATTTATGCACAATAATCAATCTAATGTGACTGTTTTATTCTCAGTTACCCAACAGTCAAGTATCAACATGCGTTATAGTGGTTTCAGAGCATGTCTTCCTACTCTTTACATGTGACAGTTTGCATGGAAGTACAGTTTATTGGACCTTACTTTAAACTAATAGCAGACTCTTAGTAGCACCGGTAGCATTTTGACCTTTTATGATTTGGCTATTGAGTACGTTTTTGAAGTAATACCAGTTGGCATTACTCGACCCATGCATATCAATTGATACTAATTGACCTTTTATGACAAATTTGTTCAGTACCATTTCAGCAAACTACATGGATTGATTAACATATTAGTTTCCAAGCAGGTGTAGTCAATATACTTTCGCTTATTTAGGTTCATATAAATAAATATACAGTGTACTATAGGCTGGTCAAACCGATTACACATTGATTACAGGTTAATCTTAATTACTGATTGATCGTGCCATTCTCCTTGATGTGCATTGATCTACTTTCCTAATAGTGCTCGATTACATCTCATTTGATTGAATATTGCCTGTCATGTGATACAAGAATCACAGCAAAATAGGAAGTAGAAAATTATTGTGCTATCCATATACACATTGCATGTTTGCATGCACCAGCATACATGGCAACGAGCCTCTCCCGGCTCCACTGCACCTTGCTCTAAGGATAGAGAATTAACACAGAAGGAAAGAGAATTAAGACAAAAGGAAAGAGAGAGACTGCTATCAATCCTCTGCTATAAATCCCGTGGCCTCGCCATAGTGCCCACCCTCGCTCACACCGGCCTCCGCCCTCGCGCCCTCCCTCGTGCATCGGCTGTGCTTCGCCATAGCGTGTCGCCATTGTCGTCGCCTGCCGCCATCGCCTTCGCCGTCTTGCTGTACCCTCGAGGAGGACTGCGGACTGCCACGAGGAGCTTCCAACATCTTTTGTCTTCCACAAACATCCACCCTGTTAGTGAATCACATCCTGCCCTAATGCGTTTCTTTATTTGTTATTGCCTCCAGTGCTTGTGTGATCTGAAATCATGCCTCTTTAAGAGTCTTGGATAGATACGTGCAGAGGCTATGTGATGCGTGTTGTCGTGGTAGTGGTTTGAGAATGGTTGGTCCAGTAATTCGTCATGAACCCTCTGTGTTTCTACTTCAAGTTCTTAGACTGTGAACCTCTATCTGTGCCTGAAATCGAATCGTTACCGCAGCCATTTGCCATGATTTCGTGCTTCTGGTTACTTTGATTTGATGTTTATTGCCTGTGTTCCATCTTTCCATTGAGCTGTCATGATCCTTATATATTCAAATGGCTGAGTATTCCTGTTATGACTGTTCAATTGAATGATGATTAGCACTGGCTTGATCGCTCCATGATCTGGTTCTGCAAGTCTACCGTAGCAACAGTTCCTTTGCTTAACTTTCTTTTACCATTGAGTAAAAGTTTCAGCAAACAATCACTTTTACAGTAACCATCAGTTGTATCACTGGTTTATTTTTTGAGACGTTCATCACTGGGTTGATGCCGTTGATGCAAGTTGCAACTGCTAACAAACCTGCAACATTAGTTGGAGCAGCAACACAAGCCATCCGGAAAAAAGGGGGAAAAAAGCAGCAACCGTGTCACTAGCACTGTTGCACAAGCGCCACCTCTGGAACGACTGACGAGAGAACAGAGCACACACACCACATTGCAAAAGTGACCGGCGCCAATTTTAGTGAGTCGTTTCGACAATTCGACGTCTGCGTCTCGTCTCAGCTGTGCACGCGCTCACCGGCATCGGCGACCGTTGACGAGACAATGAGCACGTTGCTTGCTGCTGTGCTGCAGCCGTGGTGATGGCCGATGGACCTGCCACGAGCCCACGAGCTGCCGCAAGCCCGCAACGAATGGATAGCCCATGTGTAGTAGTGTTTAGGCCCAAACGTAACCACTGTGGACAGTTCTAGATCCTTCTGGCTTGTCCGGCCGCTCCTGCCCTGGTCGTGCGTCCTTCTTTCCCACACTCCAAGAAAGAAAACCAGAGGCGCCGGCTGTCCGCCTTCCCCCAAATCCGTTTGTTTCCCACGGCGCAAGAAATAAATAAAAAAATAGTAGAATGCGAGCGCCCTCTGCGCACATGGATAAACAAAATATGGCTGTTATATAGAATGCGTCCACCCTGTTAGTGAATCCCATCCCGCCCTGATGCGTTTCTTTATTTATTATTGCCTTCAGTTCTTGTGTGATATGAAATCATGCCTCTTTAAGAGTCTTGGATAGATACGGGCAGAGGCTATGTGATGCGTGTTGGGATCTCTAGCTAATGCAAGGCTTAGCTCCTTTTATCTCTTTATAAAATTTATTCCCTATACTTATTGGAGCATGTAAATCCTAAAAATTTCATGGCCCTGATTGGATTGGATTTCTGGAGTCTACACAACTCCAATAATAAATCATAAACCAAAAATTATTTCTAAGGCATCATGATTGCAACCAAAACATGATCTCATTTTGGTGGTTTGATTTGCATCACGATCTATCACCGTACACTGCAGTTCAAATTTTGTTGGCACGTGGCCATGCACGGGCATCAAATTTGAGGTCATGTATGCTAACAAATTAACAATATAGGTGTTGTAGTTATTTCAGAGGCTGCACATGACGTCATCAAGATAACAGGACAGAGGCACAGAGCACGCGGACAACTTTAAATCTTTAATTGCTTGCCGATCTCCATAGAATAATAGTATATTATGTTCAGACTGACTAATGTCATCCTATATATTTTTCATGATTTTGGTTTCTCAGTTGCTGATATGGGTTCTGGCTGTCGGTCGCTCAAAAGAAAGAGGGTGTACGCTAACCCGCCGCCTGCAATCACCGATACACACATCTACAAGTAACTACGTTACATTTATCTTGTAATTGATCGAGGCAATCATTTTCTGTCAGCATAGGTTTACTCGTGTGTTTTATCATTTTGATTGACACGGACGGGATTGTAGATGGGTTGAATTCCATGAAGTGGGAATGGAACACATATCTTCCATATGGGATGTGAGTGCCATGGTTTTTTGGAAAGGCAATGTACGACATCACCATGGTGATACATATTTGCGTGTAATTTTAAAGGATGAGTAGGTGCATTTTGAGCTCATCTTTTTGGACTATGTCTAATTTTTTTTACAGACCATTGTTATCTATCTGTTGGATCTAATATTCTTACAGGAAACCAAAATGGAAGCGGTTGCGTATGACGACCAAACCATGAGGTTCGACCGTTTGCTTCGTGTAGGAGAATGTTATGACTTCATGAGAGTTGGCTTCGCGCCTACTCATGTTGGTCCTTTGGGCTACATCTTCCGTTTATGTGCCGACTACTTTGTGCTTATATCTCCACAAAGTATGGCTAATGCACCACCGAGAGAGCTATGGATTTGTCAGTGTCCTCGTACCTTTATGGAATTCGAGGATGTATACGCTCAAGCTGAGTACTTTTTTGCAGGTATACCTCATACGCCTATATTTAAAAATACATAGTTAACTGTTCATGCTCATATTCTATCAATAACTATCGTCTGTGTTTGTAGATGTCATTGGTATAGTTGTGCATGTGTCTA